ATTATAATTATATATATAATATAATTACGTATGTAAATAATTATATTATAATTATATATTATATAATTATCGTATATTATAATTTTATATACATATATATATAATTATCTCTATACGATAATATCTTGGATGGAGAATACATCCCAATGAATAAATTTGGAATTCTTTAAGCGAATTTATGTTTATAAATAAATCCCAAACTCGTCGTTAGTTTCATATGTACTCTATAAACATTTATTTTTTTCATCTGACTAGAGAGTATTGGCGCGGCTATATCACGTTTCATTTCGTTCACGTCTCGAAGCACGAAGAAATCGATGTTTCGTATGTATGTCATATCTCTGTACAACTTCGAGACGTCTATTACGTATGTATTTATATATCGGAGGAATGGCAGCGGTACCGTTTCATAGTTTTTTTTTTTATATATTGCGTCTCTTAATATCCTTTGTTCTTTATTTTCTCGTTACAATTCCTTGTAGAAACCTAGAGTAACTGGAATCACATTATAAAAATCTTCCACTTCCCTTACATCGTATAATTATATATTATGTATGTACAAAGGTAAGCCACGTTCGGATCTTAGCAGTTGAATAGTCTCTCGCTTCTCCTAACGTTTCATAATTTACATATAGTTGCATTATATTCTCGCTTATATACTTTTTATAATGTTTTTAAACTCGCGAGGCTGATTACGGAACACAGATGATACAATCATTATATACAAGATTTTTCAGTCATCAACAAACAATAAAACAAGCACATCATCGCACAGAGGATTAGGATACAGAAAAAATCTCATATGACTATTGTCGCCAATATTTACATACTAACAAGAATCTAAGGATTTTAAAATTTATCCTTGCGTTGGAAAGAGCTAAGAACATCTTTGTGGAGAACTCGAAAAAGGAAAATGAGTCCCATTATCAACTCGCGTCGACATTTGCAATAATACACATTTTCAGTTTTTACATTTCATCTTTCAATTAATTGAACGCGGAAGAAAAATATAACAAAAGTATAGAACTAATATATCTAAGAAGAGATATTTTACAAGAGAGGGAAAGTGTCGATATATGAGCAGGATGTTTCATCCAACTCGATTGCCCGAAATATCTCTGTTGCTTTTGTTGGCGTGAAAAACATGTAGAGAAATGATTATTCAGTTGTGGAATAAACAGATATTACGGGCACAAAAATCAGTGCACGGAATGTCGCGTTATTCACACACAAAAAAATTAATTATAATTTAAAATTATAATTAGTTAAATAAAGTATAATTTATTAAATTAATTAGAAATTAAAATTATAATTAACTGAATAAGGAAGTGTTTTATGTGGATCGATCATAATATTTTTTATGTCTTTGTCACTATATTCTTCTTTTTTAATCAAGAAATATATTATTCGTTTCGCTAAATTTAAAATTATGATTGAATTTAGCGAAGTGAATAGTTTCTCGACCTTTCTCGCGTCAAAAGTAATCGAATGTATATCGGTATTGAGTGAAACATCTCGCAAATATTAAATCGCCACATGTCGGTAAGAAACTTTCTTAGTGCATCTATCGTCTCTAGCCTTTCGTTCGATAAATATATTATTTCAGCAAACATAATAACAATTTTATGGCCGCGCTATAAACACATAGTTACAGAATATGAAAGAAGTAACCTATAAAATCAATCTTTAGCTTACTTATGTATTAGTTAACCAGTCGATTAGAAAGCTATCGATATCACAAAGTTTCAAGGGATTGATCTAACAAATAATACATAACCATCAATAAGTATAGACAAGCAAAAAGGATGATTTGTTTCGTAAAAGTCCTTTGTGGATTTATGAAAAAGGAACTCTCCAACAATTCTAATAATTTAGGGGCCCTCATAAGGACAAAAAATAAAAAAAATTAAATAAAATTGCCCAAGGGAGCTTTCCCAACGTGCTGTAACAGTTTTTTCCCGCAATTAAAAATAATTTATCCAAGGTAGAAGAGCAAATCGCACCAGTAAAAGTATGGCAAAGCTCGTCATCGATCTGCAGAGTTGTGACGAAAAAACTTCTCGTCTCAAACAGCAAGAACGAAAAAAGAAAAAAATAATGTAACATGCACCAGAGAACATTTCGTCATTAGAGTCTTACGACCCACGTCGCTGCGTCCATTATAACGGCAAGAGATCGATCAGATTCGCTCGCGGTTGTGTCAACGATTCCGGAAAGAATTCCACGAGCTTGTCGTAGAGCTCGGTTCGCAAATTATGTACATCGCGCTCTACGTTCGTGCCTTGCTGCGCCGTCGCCGTGCCGGCCGCTACTTCGTTCAGAATTGTGTTCGATTGGGAAGCGTCTTCTGACAAACTATTTTGTATCCGGAATAAAATCGACGTCAACAATTGAAACTGCAAAAAAGTAGCAACTGAAGATGAGTAAGATTTCAACACTTACGTTTAACAGATCGAATTTGGCCCATGAGTAATAAACATAAATAAGTAATGATTATATAAATGCGATTTCTCATTTCGATACCTCTCTCGTTTGCTGCGTGTCATTATGATCGATAATCTCGAAGATTTTCGTCTGCAGGTATTCAAGAGCCTCTATACTGTTGCTCAAGGCGAGTTCCTTGAACTTATGCGTCCTAATGATTAATTTGCATTTCTTCAAGATTTGTTCGGCCGTAGGTCGGCGCAATTCCAATTGCCAAAAGTCATCGAGACGCAGATTTGGTAAACAAGACCTGCCCGGATTGCCGCCGAATAAAAAATGAACCTGATGAAAAAGTAACTTGTAAAATATTATCGCTGAATTCATTGTCATCGCGAGCGTATTTTTTATTCAAATAAAAAATAAACTATTCGATTACAAAAATTATAACTATATACTTTCGAACATTTCCATATAATTTATAATAATCTTGTAATGTTACTTTATCAGTAGCTTTAGAAAATATTGTAATATTAATTGCGTACTTTTTGTAATTTTTACAGAAAAGTTAGTTTTAAAGTTAAAATACTTGTATCGCTATAACAGAAGTTACTTAATGATTTACAAAATTTATTTATTTATTTAGAGAAAGGAAAATCGATACAAAATCTCGACATACCTTTCTTGTGGGATCATAAACGAGCTGATGCGCAAATCTCGGACACGGCTCGTAATCCTGCATTTTGCTCCAATACTTTTCGCCGACGTTCTCGTTGCGATATATGCACGACCATTTGCTACTCTGGATATTGTACACCCAGAAAGAATTTTGCACGTTGTCGTCCCTCTTATCCTTATCCTTGCTCAGACCCTGAGAAATATTGTGTCGTTTCTATACATCGAATTATATTAAATATATGTGTGATTATAATGATTATATAATTATATACATATATTTGTATGCAACCAATGTATTATTTATATGGCCTTAATGATTTATATAATTTTAATGATTATAAATTTCATTGGGCGTGTGATACAAACCGATAAAACGTAAATCTCGCCGAGTTCAGGATCCATAGTCGCTCTCTGTGTGAATCCGGCCGCGGGAACGTGACCGGATTCTTTCGTCGTGCCGAACTCGTTATAGTTTATGTACTCGATATGCTGCGTATCGACTTCGTAAGTGAAGAAGTCACTCAGATATTCCTTGCCTCTCTGACCAGCGAATATGTACAACTTTCTCGATCGCTGGGAAGATTACAAGTACGCGTTATTAATGTCTTGTGTAAAGCGCGCGTTTTCGCTCTTTTTCTTATTATTATACTTATTTCAATCAAAGATTAGGATACCGACCGGATGAAACAGCATGGAGTGACCGGCGCGGGATCTGTAGATTGGCATATCTTTCGAGCACGATTTATCGGCGATATCACAGGCGAGTCTGGTCCAAGTCCCGGTCGGCACATGATAGGAATACAGTCCCGAGAAATGCGGCTCCGGTATTAGACCGTGTTCGTCAGCACTGCGTGAGTGATCAAAGAAACATCAGAACGAATCCATAAATAAATAGAATGCGAGTGAAGCCATTTTTTTTTTCAACGTAACTCACTTCGTCGGATGAGCCAGTACTCGTCCGCCGAATACGTAGATGGTGCGTTTCTCCACATCCATCGACATTTGATGATCGAATACAAGCGGCGGCCCGCCCATAGTTCCTGTATCCTCCGAGATCTGCGTCCATTTGTTCGACTCAATGTCGTAAACGTAAAAGTCACTCTTCAAATTCTCACATGTGCGATATTGTGTGTCCAGATACCTGCCTAACGTGAATAGCTGTCGTCTTTGTGGATCTAGGCACATCTTGTGACACGAACGCGCGCTCGGGCCACCCTAAAAATAACACAGATTGTGAGAGGAGAGAAGTCAACAAAGGCTCCACTCTTGGTCTGACAATTATATGCTGTAAATAAAATTTAAACTCTTCACATTGCAGTTTTGCGATATGAAGGAATTCTCACATAAAAGATATACAATTTATTTTATAAATCGCTTTAAGTTTTATTTTGTACACACATACATCTTATAATATAAATAAATACGCTTCTTATATTTTATAATTGTATTTAAGAAAATACTAATTTTTCATATATTTATATATCCGAGAAAAGTTTCCATATTGATTCTCTCTTTCAAGATGCAGCTTGACATAGCATAAAGAGATATATTATTGAATAAACAATTACAAAGCATATATTGGTTACATGCTATCGATATATGTATGCAGGTATAAAGAAATAAAAGATAAACTGCATTTTTTGCAGTATATCAGATCATATTGTATAATAGAATTAAATTTATCGAGTACTACCGACCACCGCCTCGGTGTCCTTGCATATCAACGTCCACTTGCTGGCTTCTATATCGTAAGACCATAGGTCGGAAAGATCCTGGTTACCGTCCCACCCGCCGAAAAGATAAAGTACCTCGGCCGTAGGATCAAGCACCATTTGATGGCCGCCCCGCATCCCGGGTTTGGGTTCGCTAGACGATAACTTTGTCCAAATTGCTCTATAAGTTTGAGCATTGATATAATCGCTTAAGAGCCCCGCTAAAAATTAACGCATTTAACGATGTTATAAGCGTCACGGCTGTGAAACAGACACGGAAGAGAGGTTAAACGCGACCGCGTTTGAACTCACTCGAGAGCGCATTGCTGATGAAACGTTCCGCCTGTCCATGGTCGCCCTTGGTGACCAGTAAATTGTATAGCGTCGACAATCGCGGATCCTCCAACGGGACGCCGGTGATCCTCTGCAGGGTCTCGACAATTTCGGGTTGTTCCATTTGTCGGAAGTGTTTCATACACAGTCTTATTATCTCCTTTTGCCGATACTGCAATATGATGCATGATTATATTTTCATTTTTCACAATTAAGAAGTTTCCCATTCCACGATGGATTTACCATGTTGAACCACTCGAGACAAGGCCTTACAATCTTGAATTCACTGATACCGGTTAGTCTAATATGCCATATGGAAAAGTTGAAACTAGGACCCCAAGACTGCAGCGGAAGCACTTTTATGTATCGAATGGGAAAGCAATTTCCTTCATTTCCCAAAACATGCTTTAGATCAAATGTTTCTGGTATCGAGTCGTTCCTCAGTCCGCTGAAACATTAAAGTTTGGGTTAGATAATGGACAAAGCGAATTAATGCGAAGAATGAATTGTCGAAGCAAACCTTTCGAGAAGTTCCATCATGTTTTCTGGTTCCAATCCACCAAATATCTTAAACTTTTTTATATTACACACGTGCGTCTTTTCATATTTACCAAAGGTGATGTATTTGACAATGGAAGGACTTTGAAGCTTAAGAATAAGGTACTGAAAAATCGTCGAGACAATAAGTAGTAACGCGAGAAATGATGTAGGCGTATACGGACAATCCTTACCTGCGGATGATTGTCGATATCGGAGGACCAACGTGAAGTCTGATCCGATGGTATATCGACGATGATATTTCTGGAAAAAAAAAAAAAAAAACGAATCGATGAGTCGCGAGATCGGTACTCCTTCATTTCTTTACGATTTATATCGAATACGAAAAGAGATTTGCTGAGATCAAATCAATCGTTTTTAGGTTAAGAGGTCGCGATACAAGGAATTTACTTCCCGTCGATCGTCCCCGGAACAGCCGCGATACGACTTACGGACGCCGATTTGGACACTCACTCGGGTATATAACAGGAAGAATAACTGGAGCACTTGTAAATCCGATACTCCAATACTTTTTGAAAATCACCACTCTCGCTCGACGCCATGTTATGCAAATGACATAACCTTCAACCGCTCCGAGATACGTCACAGACGTAGCAAGAGAATAGAACGGCCACTTCATAGATTTCGGTTTGTTTGCACTTTCTACACTTCTACACTTTCTCTTTTTTTCAAATGTCTGTCTTTTACAATTGGATACAATGTCTATTGGCCAGTTGAAAATGAAGCCCTTTAATTGGTCAATCATGCTGGTTATTCTAGACACCGGTCGATGTGAATGGTTGTGTCCAAATGAATCTCTCCCTCCTTGTAAGGCCTGCTACATATATGCGCATGCGCGGGTTTTATCTACAATATCTCCATACTGCGTCCGTATCTTCTTTCTCGTTGTCTATCCTTTATCCGTCTGACGTCTGTAGTCTGTAGCGTCACGGCCGTACACGTGCGCATCTGGTCAATTAATAATGATTTAAATATCGGAAAAAAAAAGAAAAGAAAAAGGGAGAGTCTGCGATCTAGAGTCTCTCCGGATCGTCTGCGTTCGAGACAGCCATCGTGCGCATCGGAACGTAAACTGTCATGGTACGTAAACAATCGCGAGACATCAAGCTGTCCGATCCGGATGTGTCCGACATACGAATAGTTGTACAGATCGATATGCTTTTGTATTGTTAACATGCCAACCAGGAGGTAGGCGAGGTGATGAGCGATAAGGAGACGATGGACGGTGTAGGACGACACTCGCGGGCGCTCTGCGAGAGTGACGAGATTGAAAATTCGGATGAGAGCAGCGAGAGTAGACCGTCCGGGGAGAGATGGGCCCCCGTTGGCGCCAACGACGGCGACGAGTTCGCGGACGAGTATAAATATGTCAATGCCAACGTAGACAAGTACGTCTCTCTCTCTCTCTCTCTCTTTATTTTAAGTATAAACCCCTATTAATATATTTTGGAATATTTATAATATATATTCTATAGATAGAGAGTATGTTTAAAAAATAGATGATCAAACTTTAGAAGCATATTCTACCCTTTGTAAGGATAAAAACAGTTACATAAACAAGAGCCTATATATCATTACATAAAAATTACAATTAAAAATATAAATAGAAGATAAATTTTTCCATGCATTGTAGGTAAAATAATATCCTCTTATGTTCCTAGTCTTGCTTATGATATGGAGAGGGTAAAGATGTTGGAGGAGGAGCAGGAGATGTTGAACTCGTCTCTTATAGCATTAACCACCCACTTTGCTCAGGTACGAGGATCGAAACTATATTCATCCAAAATTGAACTTACTTTGTATTGTCTTGTTTCGCACTTAATCATACTTATGTATTAATTAATGGAAACTCTTGCATAGGTTCAATTTCGTCTACGACAGATTGTGGATGCGCCAGCTAGCGAAAAGGAAACACTGCTCAAAGAGTTGGAGGAATTTGCGTTTAGGGGAATACCAGATGTACCGAACAGCTTACTATTAGACAGCAGATCTATCACGCCAATCTCTTCTGTAGCCTGTGATCGAAGTGTAAGCCATATAAAAAGCAAATTTTCCTCAATTTTTTCAGCATAGATGACTTTCTTATAGTATTTCTGCTAATTTCTTTATTGCTTTGTTTGGCGACTCTGTTTTTATTGCTTTGATGCATACCTTTATTCATTATTCATTTTTACATCTAGTCATGTCTAACTATTCCTTTTTAAATTATATTTACCTCTTATTTATTATGTTTTATTTCTTTTTTGTTTTATATTTTATTTATTTATATAAGATATAAACTTACATTTATGTTTTATACTTGTGTTTTTTGTTCTTTTAATACTATTTCTGAATGCGCAATAAAATTTTTCCACGTATTTTTCTTTTATTTTCATATCCAGACACATCCAATCCTTCTCTAATTAATTTAACTGTTCTAGAAATAAAAGCAGGCTTAAATGCCTGTTATAATTTTCTACATTTTTTTGGCTACAGCACAGTAGTGACAAAAGAACGTTTTGTGCATAACTTCTTTTTTTTCTTAATATTTATAGCTATTTAATATTATTTGATAGTTCAATCGTATTGAATGTAACTGTAGGTAACTGATGTTATTACTGATGCGGAAGTCGAATCCAAAATGGCAATGCAGAGAACAAAACAGAGAGAGCTGATAAGTCAATTGAAATCTCAATTGGAGGATTTGGAAAAGTACGCATACGAAACTGGTGACGCCGATCTACCGCAGAGCGTCATTCTCGAGAGACAAAATATAATAATTAGTGAGTTTTAGAATTTTATTGAAAATGTATTGCGCGAAAGAGGGAACGTAAGATAAAAATCGCTTCGCTCGCAGGTCATTTAAAAGAGAAGTTGAATTTTGACGTCGACGATCTGTGCAAATTACCGGCGGACGATCTCAGGTGGCAAGTCGATTACGCCATAAGTCAAGTACGTCAAATTTCAAAATTGCTACGCTTGGAATGTCTCAACGCTTTGATAGAATCTTAATTCGAAATCAAAGATATACAGTATTTAAAATTGAAAAAGAACAAAATATTCTTTCTCTCGAGAAAGATAATCCTTAAACTAGCCATACGAGCTGTGATCAAAAGAACATTTGCTGCTTCTGAGACATTTATAGCATAACGTAATATTTTTATGCAATATATTTGAAGCAACTACTAATACATACGTTATATGACAGATCGTCAGCCCGTTGAAGATGAAGGAGCAACTTGTCTCCCAGCTGAAGACGCAGGTCGCCGATTTGGAGCGTTTCATAAACTACCTTCAGGGTGAAGTCAGCACGGAAACCTTGGCGTGCACGTGCGCGTGTCCGGTGCACGCAAGCGGTTCATCGGCCTCTTACGGCGCCAAACGGCGCTTCGACCGGGGAAGGGGACCAGTCGAGGGGGATGCGAATAGCGCCACTCGCACCAGGACCCTCAATACCGTTCGGAAGGTGGTCGCGCTCCTGCATATGTTTCTGATGTCGCAGCTGGGTTGCGGCAGTGAACGGGTGCGTCGGAATTTTGGCGGTATGAAGAATCCGGTGCACAATTGGCGCGATCTGCGTACGAGATTGGACATCGCCGTCGAGCACGTGTTGGAGACGATCGCGGAGACGTCGCAGCGACAGCAACGTCGGCCCGATGACGACGACGAGGAGGACGACGATGATATTGATGACAACGAGAACGATTACACATCTGACTCGGATTCGGCGTCGCACGCCAATGCGAGACTCACGTCCGCCGTGAGGAAACACCTCGCGATCTCGATCAGGGATCTCGTGCAGCACGGCTTGACCGCGGACGTGACGCGTTCCGGATCCAGCGTGGTGCCGTTCGTCGGCTGCTTCCCGCAGCGCAACGTTACGTCGGCGAATTTCATGCACGTCTGGGAACTAATACTCAAGTACTACGAGATCAAAAACGGGCGACGTTACAATTCCAGTCCCGCGCAGAAGCTGTCGCAGAGCTTCAATCTCGATCTCGCTGCTGGGAGGACAGCCTCATCGAAACAGGTATCCGCATTATAAAAGATATAGGATGACCAAGAAATTGCGATTGACGAAAAAATAAAATAAAATAGATGTGCTGTAAATTCTCTCCGATCGGTCGCTTTCGAGAATCGTCGTTTCGTTGGATCGTAATAAGATTCCCTTGGACATTCTGTGATCTGTAAATGAGAATCTCGTCATTTATCTCTCTATGTATTTTTTTCTAGAGCTTATTGACGACCATAGGTAACATTATCGCCTCCCACAGTCCGTACAAGCGAAGTTACGATTCGCACTTCAAAGCATTCGTATGCGCGGCTTTAAAGTGAGTAATGACATGATATTGTCAAGTTGTAAGATAGAGCTACCGTTCTTTTATTTTAGCTCTTCACTAGTCGATATTTATTTAGCTATTTATATCGTTATATTAATTTTTATTGAATAATTGTTGTGTTTTTAGCGCTAATAAACTGGTGATATGGCTAAAGTTGATCTTGCAATGTCAATATCTTCTGGAAAATTATTATCTCTCATGGAGCTATGTTGTAAAGACAGGTATGTGTCGAAATTTGAATAATCGGAGAGAAATGATACTTTTAATAGCGAACCTTTTAGGTTTCCAAGATGCATTTCACACTTTGGACCGCCTGACTAGTTACAAGTTCAACTTATCAGTGGACTTGGCCGTGCGACAGTTTCAGAACATAAAGGATGCATTTTGATTGTACACTCTCATCGTTAACATTTCGTGCAAATGACAATGTAAGCCATATAGTACTTATATATATCATTTGGTATCTTCCATAACAAGCTGTAACACAAAGAATTGTACATGTGAACGATAAAAATGTACAAGGTGAGTTACTAGGAATAGAATATTTTAATGCAGTTCTCTCGCAAGTACGAAGATGTCTGGAACATAATTTAAGTAAAGGTAAACTTGATAAATATCATTCTTTTTCTCTTTATTAATGTTTCCTTTTTAATAGAATATTATATTCATATTAAATGTAATTGTAAAAATGTTAGAAGTGCTTAAAGCCATCCAAATTGTGCTCTATACGTTTTCTTTCGTACTTCCAGTTCAAGAAAGATACTTTATTTCCAGTAACTCACGCTGTATATGAGCATGCATTAGGAGATTCTCAAAGTATTAATATCACAAAATATGTTCCTTTTCTTAGTCTCTAAGTATTCAGTACATATTAAACACACACACACACATATATATATATATAGAAAGAGAGAGAGTTGCAATAACTATTAGGCGTAATAATTATTTACCTTTCAAGATACCACATAAATATTTATATAAATCAGTTATAAATATATGAACTTGTTTCTTGATTTTTGCTTATATAGAATGATAGAGTTTACAAATATTGAAAAATATTCTGATTAGAATCTACATATCTGTCGAGATATTTTGTTGAATATAAGCTCAAGGCGTGTTAAAGATACAAGAACTGAATCGAGCAAAGCTAGTCACCTCGAAAAATAATCATTCCATATTTTGCACATTTATGCTAAGCATCACGACGCATAGAGAGAGAGAGAGAGATAAATATACCAAAGATGTGTAATATTATGATATTGTGACTAAAAACTTGTTGCACTGAACATGTTATATTATATATAAGGCGTTTTATGTATATCTACACATAAATTAGTATAAGAAAATGATATATACATA